GAACTAAGTGCCTTCACTCTTGCACACACTTCTGCCATAATATGTCTGCCCTGGAGTCATTCAGCCTGGGACTGAGTCCTGATTCCATCGGCCAAATTAAACCTTTCTTCTTTTACACTGTGAGTGTCAGGTAATGTGTCTCAGCGATGGGAAAGCTAATACAGAACACTGATGCCAGAGAAGTGAGGAGGCTGCTGAACCTGTAACATGATTTAGAAGCTTTGCAACAAATGTTTGGAAGAAGAGCAAAAAGATTTGAAATGTACAGTAAACTTAGAATACAATAAACATATCTCAATTAATGACTCTTACTAGAACTCATAAGACCAGAATGTAGGTAGTAATGGTCAGGCTCAGCAAATTCCCCACGGGAACAAGGGTTCCACTGGTATTTGAACTAAAAGCCATGTGTATTACACTCTGGGAAAAAAGATATTGTTTACATTTTGCCCATGCTTTGAGACTTTGCAAGAGATTGATGTCAAGGGCAGCGGACTAAGTAATCTAGAGGTAGGAATGTCAAAATAGTTCAACATTTTGTGGGTACCATGACTACTAATGGCTCATTGTAGATTGATTTATAGTGAGAGCTAGAGGCAGAAGACAAGCTGAAATAACTGAAATTCTAAATTTTCAAACATTTTATTAGTACATGGGTACCTCAGTTATTTTTCTCATCACTTAGACACAATACATCTGCAAGTTAAAGCAGAAAGGTTTATTTTAGCTCACAGTTTGTGAAAGGTCAGTCCATAGTTAGCTGACTTCAAGGCAAGACAATGTAGCTTGGGGGCATGGCATAAGCAGGAGACAGCGAGCATTCCCTCTGCTTTCCCTTTTATTCCATACGGGCCACCAGGCTATTAACTGCATGCCCATTGTACCCACCCAGAATTATGCAATCAGTGGACTAATACATTTACCACACATCCTTAATCCATACTCACACACCTAGATACAACCACCTCCAAAGACCTGACCTATTAACACATGAGGTTTGAGGGAGAATCTAGACAGAATGCATAAAAATGTGTATAATACATAATGCTTATACTCTTTGTAGGGAGTTGGTACATGTGCATAACACATGATAATTGTTATTTTTCTGTTCTTTTTGTTGATAGGATCTCAACATACAGTTCAGACTGGCCTTAATCTCACTATGTAGCCCAGGCTGTCCTCAAACTCACAGTGATTGTCCTGCCTCAGCCTCCCAAGTGCTAGGATTACAGGTATTCACTGCCACTCCTGGTTTAATTCTCTTTTTTCTCCCTTTTCCCTTCCCTCCTTATCCCATAGTCCTATCTCTGGATCACCTTCCTTCCTTTCTTTTTTGTTGTCCTTTATTTTGCTTGGGAGATATTGCTGGGATTTTTTGTTTATTTGTTTACATTTCTTATGTGAAGTAAGAGGTGTGGTAATGGAGGAGACTACCCTCTTAAAAGAAATTAAGTAATTGGAATAGAGATAAGAATAAAGAGGACTTTAGAGAACTTCAGAAATCAGGAAGACTCTACCTATCACAGGCTCAAGTATACAAATCTGTAAATCTTTCATTTGCATAATGATTCCTTCTTCAGAGGATATACAAGGATATTAGAGCTCTGGCAATCATTTTACTGTGCTCAGCCAGTGTGGGATTCAGGGGCTACTGCAACTGTGGTCCAAAGGACCCAGCTACTGCTCTAGTTGACAGTCAACCATGGCATCATCCACACAATATTATTTTTACCAGCATGCAGAATGTGTGAGTTGTAGGGGCAGGAAGGCTTCCACCCATACTTAAAAGGGAGGCCTAGGAAGCCAGGAAAACTGCTCCTGAGAAGGCAGTGTGGTACACTGTGGGAAGGAAGCCAAAAGTGTGGTGTGGATCCCAGAAAATAAGAGGTGCCAAGAGCATGGAAAAATAGCTGAGGAAATGTTGAAGCTATGTGTAGAACCAAGTCAAAAGAGTGGTCATACGTGCTGCAACTGGCAAGACCAAAGGGATGCAGCTGTCCAAGTCCTTTGGAACGCACATTTTGTTATTATGCGCCCCAGAAGCCAGATATAGGACTATGGACTTAATGTTTAATTTGGTAGTTTTCAACCTTTGATCTGATTTTTCTCCTCCTGTTCCTCCTTTTTAGAATGGGATTGTTTACCCTGTATCAATTTACTTTGGAATTATGTAGTTTGTGTTTTATTTGAACAGCTCAGAGTTTGCCATGAGTCTCATAAAACACTGCCTTGGACTTTTGAAAATGCTGAACTTTGGAGACTTTGAGAAGAGATATTTTCCTTCTAATTGTAGGTGTGACAGTTGTATTCTGATAGATGGAATTATGAATGTGCTGTTATCTTGATTTGGAAGTGAAAATGTGGGTATAAAGTTCTTAAAGGGGAATTGTAACCATTAATCCTGATATGCCTACTTCATTGGATTAAGAAATTCTTAGCACATTTGCAGAACATGCTCCTGGGTATGTCTGGATAGAGGATGGAGGTGTCCTGGGTGCTATGTATTGCACCTTCACCACCCATCTTTGTCACTGTTCCACTGCTCTACTTCCTGGCCAGAACTAAAAATCTTTGCTCTGCCACACTTTTTTACCTTGATGTATCTGCCTTGGGGCAAGCCAACATGGCCTGAATCCTCAGAACTGTAAGTCAAATTAAACCTCTCCTCCCTTGAGTTGTGATGGTGAATATCACATCTCAGTGACTGGAAAGCTGGGTAAGAAATATTAGAATGGTATACTTGCAATCCTCATCAGAAACATCCAGATTCTTGATCTTACCATTTCTTAGCTTTTCAAAGTCCTCTGGAGTTTCTATGAACTTCTCTTCAAACTGGAAGTAGAAAAAGTAAATAAAATGTTATTAGTTCATTCATAGTGTTGTAGTCTCTTAAACTTGAGATGTCTCAGAAATGTAGTTAATATGAAGAGGTTAAAATTTCTGAGTTTGATATTGAACAAAAATGTATCTTTTTGTGGCCACCTGAACATTTATGTTAGATCTATCAAGACAATGGCATACATCATCATACACCACTGCTTATTTCTTTTGTTGAATCTCAATTCTTAGAAACTGTATTGCTATGGACTTTTTATTTTAAAGAGTAAAAGTAGGATAACATAATAATAGGGGGGGCTTACCAAATTACAGATAAAGTGGTAGGAAATTATCAATGGTTATTGTTTCACATATTGTTATGTA